TTGTTTATGCAGCTGATAATCCTGAGAGATGAGGCCTCCCTACGGCTGCCTACAAAAGCAGTGGGTTCCCCAAACTCAGTGTTCCTCAGATGGAACACAGCTACCTACTGCAGGCAGAGCATCTTGTGGAGCCATACAGGGTCTCCCAGGTGGGACTCTGGTGCAAATGGAACTAACACAAATGTGCTGAGGCTCAGGCTGCTTGCCGTGTCGTGACTAATACAGTTCTGTGTCTCTCACCTAGGAGTCTGGTGTCTTTGCCAGTATACATGAAAACAGTAACAGGCTAACATTTTTTAGCTTGTAAGTAGAGTAAAGAGTAGATCTGACAAAACCCAGGAATAATCTCTACCCTTAAATTCCTGGAATATCACAGACATGTGTTCCAAATGAAACACCAATAGTAACATAAATAAAAGCATGATAAATTTCAGTTGTAGAACTTGAGGCAGAGTCTAAATGTGAAAACACAGGAAATACTGAAGAAAAACTCCAAAAGGTGGGAATGGGTGTGTAAAGCAAGGCAAAGGGAGTAAGAATGGAAGGAAGAGTTCTTTGTGGGGAGAACTGGGAAACATGGGGAGGTTACAGGCAGACAACAGAGGTCTCTAAAACAAGAGAATTGTACATTCATGAAACGGGCAATGGAAACCATTAGGTTTTGGGCAGGAAAGTAGTATGATTAAAACTTTGTATGGGGATGATTAGTCCAAGAGGATTATGCAAAGTGAATCTGGAGGAAGAAGGTCAAAATGGCTTGCCATGAAGAACTGTACCTAAGGAAACAGGAGTCAAGACTACAAGGTTTTTGTCCTGTGAGACTAGAAACAGAAATGAAAAAACTGAGTAACTGCTTTGGAGATAAGGGGTAAGATCAGCTTGGCTTTGGATACAGATAGGGATATTTATATGGAGGCACACTCAGCATAATTTTCATCACATCGTTGTAATTACAAATTAAAGTTTGGGACTGGATAATCACTAGCATAAGGATAATAGCAGCAATCCTTAGACAAGATGCTTTCACCAAAGGAGATGGTTTAAAGGGAAACAGGTGGACACACGGTTAGTGGCCCAGCCTGGAAAGCATTCCAACAATTACAGGCTGGGAACGGAACCCAGTTATTTCAGGAATGACTTATATGTTAGTAGCTAAAGCTGAAATGGATACATTGAAGAGAGGCAACACAGGACACCAGAGTGTCCTGAACAAAAGGTCATACCCCTTAGTGCAGTATAAAATGGATTTCATATGTTCCACATAGTAAAGTCATGCATTATTTCCTGAAACATTTTGTTAATATATGTACACTAACTATGTGTGTACTGAGTTTTGATAAAAATAGGTTTTACAGTCAAAAAAGTTTGAAAAACTTTGGTACAGTGGGTAAGAGCATTAAGCTCTGGCATGGGCCTGCTAGAGTTTGAACTCAACTTGAAGTTTTCCCAAACTGTGTGACTCTGTGAACGTTTCTCTCGCTCTCTCTCTCTCTCGCTCTCTCTCCCTTTCTCTCCCTCTCTACCTGACATGTCTTTTGCGCTTGTTATTTTCAGGTAATTGTAGATTTGCATGCAGTTGTAAGAAATAATACAGAGCTATCATACACCCTTTAATCCAGTTCTCTTGAGGGTGATATCTTACAAAACTAGAGTACATCATCATAACCAGGATACTGACATTAAACTACAGTCAAGACATAGAATGTGTGCATCAATACAAGGATCTCACATATCAACATTTTATAGTTAAACCCTCTTCCTTCCAGCCCCTAACCTCTCCTAACCCTTGGCAACAACTAATCTGTTCTCCATTTCTATGGTTTTGTCATTTCAAAAATGCTACATAAATAGAATCATATAGTATCTAACTTCTTAAATTAGCTTTTTTTCCACTCAGCATAATTCATTAAAGGTTCATTCAGGTTGTTGCATGTGTCAATAGTCCATTCTTTTTTGTAGCTGAGTAGTATTTCACTGGGAAAGTTTCTTACTCTGGAGGCCTTAGTTTTCTCATCTATAAAATAGGGTTTTAAAGATTAAACAAGTTTAAATATGTTAAGTATTTAGAAATGTTTGGGACATACTAAACACACAAAAACGTTAGCTATTAAAATTATTATGGTCCTCCATAAATATAAGTATTACAATTTAGTTAATTTAAAATAAACCTTTATTGAATGACTATATGACATAGTGCTAGAAATAAGACAGTCTCTTAGATATGTTGTTCCTTCCATTTTTCTAGATGGTGGACATCAAATTTTGACCTAAAAGAAAACAGTGCATCGAACCAGTAAGTAATCTTGAACAGGTAATATTCCACACAGCTGTATTATTTTCCTGATTCAAGTAATGTCCCAGTCATTTCAGTGGTCAGAGAGGTGGGTAGTAATCTGGGCAACTGCAAATTCACAGAATCCGTTTATCAGGTTTATAATATGTATAGAAAGGAATTCAATATTTATAGCAAAACTAAAAATATAAATTATACACTTTTGTTATTTCATTTAATATTCATAATTTTCTAGTGAGTTTTAAAACTCACACACACAAATTAATAGCATATAATGAGATGAGATGCAGGATAATTGATCACTCTAAGAAGACACTCATGTTCTACTGGACATGGGCTATAGACACCAAATGTAAAACCAACCATCATTGTTAAGAAATCAGCTCACCAGGAAAACCTCAATCTTGCCAAAACTAAAAAATGAACCAACAAAATCTAACAGTTCAAATCTGCAACTTCCTAGAGTTTATTTTAAAAAGCATTTTTTTCAGGAGTCTGGGAGCTAGTGTTAACACTTCATCTATTAAAACGCCAACTGTTATGACATCCATAGAACAGATAAGAAATAGCTGAAACAGCTCGGCAGTGAAGGGCCCCTGAAACACTCTGAGCCTGCACACCCTGTCAGCGTTCCCAGTGTTTGAAACCAGTATCTTCCCCAGACCCTGAGCTGCTCATGTGTGTTATGTGTAATTCTCCATAATTCATATTTATTCTTGCTACAAGTACTCATTTACAAAAACTCAAAGTTATGTAATACAGAAAACTTCTGGCATATCACATAACTGAAATGAGACAAAAGCAGAAAATGTTTCAAAAAAAGACAAGGATGAAATGACTCCAAAGTTAACAAATAAAACATCTCTCTTCCTCCATTCTGATTTTTTAAAAAAACTACATTCCAGAAAGCCTTTTCTATAAACAGGTTCCTGGCCAACATTACTGTGTACCACCTGACTGGTAATCTAAGATCATCAAAGTATTGATACAATTCACACCTTCTGGATTTTCTATGTGCTCCACTGTTACAACTCATCTTACTTGTCTTTTTTACTTTACCTATGATAATCATTTACAAAAATGCCAGCAAAAACAGAATTAAAAAAAAAAGGCCGACTCTCACAGTAGGCTTGATTCTTGCAGTAGTACTTTGTATTAAAGAGAAATAGAAATTTACCAGGGTGAGTCATAGGGAAGAATTCCTTAAGAAGAGCATATCTTTGTTGGCTTTTATGTGGCATTTGTCTTTAGTACCTAGTCTATTAAAGAAATCGAAACCTTAAATCTGTCTGGTGCCTGGTAAATAATAATAGCAGCTGACATGATAATAAACACTACTCACTGAGTGAATCGATGTCCTCCTTCCTTTTCCTTGTCTGTGAACTGTCAGTCAACAAGGAACACTGATTTGTTTTTTCACTGAATTAGACATAACTAGTTAGATTAAAAGCAAAATCAAAGATGTAATAAAAAGACAGTTTCACTATAGGAAATGAGATAAGACTCATGATAATTTACTCATTTAAAGTAAAGTGCTGAAGAAACCATTGGGTAGCACTGGAGACAGAAAACTGCTTTAGCTTTGTCTGGTATGAGCACCCCAGGTCTGATTTGAACACCAAGAAATTTCAGACAATCTCAGCTTTCAAGGATTTTATCCTTTAACTAGGATGATGAACATACAAGAATTAGAGAACAAGTAAAAACCCTTCAGCTCCAAGTTCTGTGGGGCGTGAGTGAATGAAAAATGAGTGTGGGCCACAGTGGTCAAGGAGCACCTCCTGGAGCTCTCTTCTAGACTGGAGGGTGGTGTGGGGGAGGGGGGGTGGGGGAAGGCGAGCAAATGCTCCAGGTGGGATGTCACAGGAACTCGGCAGGAGACTGCCGTGGGCACTCATGCAGTCGGTGAAAGGACAGATGGGCAGAGTGGTGGGTGGGTGTGCACTGAAGCCGGCGACCTTTAATTGCCCAGGCAAAGTGCAAGAATGTAAAATGACATAGCAAAGTGGAGCCAAACTTCAACTTTTCTATTTTTACTTTAAAATGTGTAAATCATCTTGAGCTCCCCAAAATAAAGTGCCAATCACAGAAGACACAATTATTGGTTTGGGAAACCTTCATATATCAGAACATATGTGCAAGTTTTCAAAGTTAATTCGAAGCTTCAGGTACTTAATGTCAGGGAAACCTACAAAGCAGTGCAGCATTCCAGACCAATACTTTAGATTACCACTGTGGGATTCATGGAAATACACACACACACACACACACATACATGTAAAAATAAATATGTGTATATAAAATAAATATGTACATACATTTTCATGAATGATAAAAACTTCTATCTTCACAACATATAAATGAAAAACAGCCACAGAAAAACTATATATTAATCTTGAAATAAAGTTCCGTTTGAACATGTCATTTAACAAATATTCTAAGGGAGCAATATAAATATAAATTAATGCCACTGTACTTGAACCCACACAGATGAAGATTTTAAATGCAGGACTCTGAGAACCCTAATCCTGTATAAAGTAGCTATATGAAAAATCTGGCAAATACGCTTACTGCTCCAGTTATTGCCCTGGGAAGTAAAACCTAAAGCTGACATTCCCTCTTATGAGAAACAATAAAAAGGTGGTTAGAAAATTTTTTTAAAAAGAAAGCAAGAAAAAAAGCTGAAAGATGTTGGTGTGGCACGCACCTTCTGTATCATCGCGCATTTGCTCCACCAAATCTGTCAAATCCTCCCAAGAGTCTTTGCAAACGGCAAAAAGAAAGGAAAAGAAAGATAAAGTGTCATGCAGGCCAAGAAAGAAAAGTGCTATTAAAAACAAGGTTTCAAAAGGGATAACTGAAAGGGAGATTCCCAGAATTCCTTCCACTTCACCCAGAGATTAACAGTGAAAAGGGCAGGGAGTACACCCAAGGAGGGACACGACACTGAGCAAAGGTATCACCTCTATTAAATATATTGCAAAGCTAAGATTAATAATTTCAAAGTTCTTAATAAAAGGAAACAAAGATTCACAACCCATAAAAAAGTAATGCAGATTTTTTCCCCCACTGAAAATCAAGATTAGGCTCTTTGCATTCTAAGTGTATACAATGTTGATCTCATTCAACATTTATTTTGATCACTTCAGTGAAGCTGAAATACATGTGGAATATTTTTTTAGACTCAGGACAAGTATCATGATGCAAACTAGTGACTCTTCTTAAAATAACCAAAGAAAAATCCAAGTACCTTTGCCAGTTCCCTCTACCCCCCAGTTTTCCCTTCTCACCCTTCTCCAAAAAATGTATAGCAGAAGATGCTGCTTTGAAGACTGACAAAATTATCACTTATAATTCAATAAATACAGATGTTTATTCTATTGAAAGCATAGTACTCTACAAATTCAGTGTTTTTGTGTATGGAATATTCCATATGAGGCAAAAGGACAGGAGAGAATGTGAAAATTACAAATATAATAGATATTTCCATCTCAAAGCTATAAGATCACGATCTATTCTGAACCTATAGAAAATTTTTAAAAAGTGGATTAGCTTCATCCTTCGATAACTCTGAAACTATTATTACTCACAACTGCAATATTCATACTTAAACTCACTAAATTGTGTGACTTTCACAATGTGTAAATACTTAGAAAATAAAGAGGAATTCTCAGGACAAAGCATAATAAAAACAAGAAAATGGACAAAGGCTATGCTGTTCATGGTAGGCCTTCCTTTTTGAAAAATTTATCACAGCAGCCAGCATAGGGTCTGAAGTGGTACTTTGGAATCATCATCTAGGAAAAGAATTTGTCATTGTCCTACTGTCTCACTTGTTTACTAAACGAGAGTGCCGTAAGGGTACTTTCTCATGTCATATAATCAGTTATCCCACAAAGATGTACAAAAAAGATACAAATACATAAAAAGTTAAACTTTAAATATAAATTCAGAAAACAGGGAAGCAGAGGGGGATCTAGCAATAATGAGGTGATTAAAGTGGAACTTTCTGGAAACAATATACATAGATTCCTGGTTAGGTCAGACACTGAGGGCAGTTAGTATAAACAGAAGGCAAGCATCTATATCCTATCACACTTATATGGTTTCCCAGTTCAAAAATCTAGACATCAGTGACTTAGAAAACCAAGTACAGGAGTACAGCACAGAGAATCAGGATTAAATTCCTACTTTCACTAACGTCCCAAGCAAGTAATTTTACAAACAGAGGTAGGAGCACACGGTGGTTCGGAGAACAGACGTAAGAGCAAGGCGCCTGGGCTGGCATCCCAGCTCCACCCCTCACTCGCTCTATGGCCTTGGTCAGGTGCTTTATCTCCTTTTCCTCAGCTAGTGTCCCTATCTATAAAACAGAGGAAAGAACAGCACCTGCTTTATATACGCAGGGTCATAAATTCACAAGAATGTACTCTTTTAACAATCACATCAGTTTGCTCTATAGACATGTCATGTGACCTTGTAAAAGTCAGTAAGACTTTCCTATTTCACTCTTTATTTTCTTGAACTAGAAACTATAACTGTCACCTAATGAAATAAAAGCCTACCTTATTAGATGAAAATATATAGGTCCTCCAATATCTGTGCAGAGCTCTGGAAGGTGAATTTCTAGGTAGCAATGGGTGGTAAGGACAAGGGCTCTCTCTGACTTTCCCCTTGGCATGTGCCATCTAGAGTACTTTTCTGTTCCACGCAGAGATCTTATTTTCAAAACAAAATTTAAAGTTATAAGTGTCACAGCAAAGGAATCATGTTTAAAAGGCCCTCCTCCCCTAAAAGGTAAAAGGGGCGTTTTCTCCTTTTAAAGTTATTCTCTGCTTTACCCTGGCATGCTCAGGATTTTATTGTAATAAAGAATGGGCACCATGCTGAAGGATTTATAAAATACATTTAAAAAAATTTGCCCTCTGGCATATCTTCAAATTATTAAAACAACAAAAAAGTTTCTTATACATGAATCAGAGAGGTGGGTGGGTGGCATGGACAACCCTTGTCTCCTTCCAAAACATTCATTTTTCTAAGGAGAATACTTTATTTCCTTGAGAATGTTTTGCCTGGTCTAAAAAACTATATTAATTTTTCACAAATGGGAGAGAGGAGTAATCTAAAGGCTTGCTAGGTGACATAAAGATAGGACTGGATTAAAATTTTGCTATAGATATTGCATAATTCAGAGTTGTACTGATCAGAATTGTGCCAGATGTGCATTAGTTCTCACTCAACACACTGACTCACAAGAAAAGGAGCACACAGCTTAGAAATGCCAAGTGGGCTGTCAGTGTGTGTGGTGCATGAAACACCAGTACCAGTACACCACTGCCAACACTTGGAGTGGAGTGGTCAAAAATGCAGCACCAAACAGACTGTAATCTTATTTTTAAGATGCATATGAACAATGACATTTTTTAAAGCCATGAGATAAGAGACAATACTAGAATTGCATAAAGACCCCAAATTAGGAAGCATAGCTTTTTGAGATTCACTCAACTATTTTCTTGGCTATCTTTCTGTTTCAGGTCTAACAATGAACAGATCAGCAGACTAGTTTATACAGCTCTGAAAATATTTAACTAGGTTGCACTGAGAAATATTTGCTCTCACAGTAATTACACGGTGACTCAATGATGACAGCAGAGGGGTCTGCAGGCGGGGCCCTGGCTCTCACACTGAGATAGACCTGGGTTGGTGGGGCCTCCGCTCGAACAAGGCCTTGAGTCCTGGCAAGTTAGTTCTTTTTTGTTTGGATGAGGAAGTAACTGGCTGCAGTTACTTCCCTCTTGAGAAGCAGCACTTGAATGGGCTCCAAGTCCCTCTTCATTGTTTATAGACACTTGGTTGTGAGATCTCTCTTCTTCCTGGCATGTTCTCTCTACAGGTGTATTATTACTATAGACAACAGAGGTACAGTTGAGTTTAGAGACAGATGTAACCAAGTTACACTGTTGCCTTAAGGCTAGATATCTTTTATTTAGAGTGCTACTTCTTTTAAAAGTTTAGGACGGTTTCTTGAGGGAAAGCTTTCCTGAAGCCCATTGAGATATGACAAATAACTCTTTGAAGGACTTTGTCAAAATAAAAGCTAACAAATTCAAAGTACTTAGCACATCATAGGTACTCAATGTCAACTTGACCATTTACAAGACCCCAATGTGGCCCTGTCCTCAAATCTGGCTATAAACTGGCTTCTTCTGTTTGCTATAATTATTCAAAGAAAACAGAGAGAACAGGATTAAAAAAAAAAAACTAAACTAAATATTGAACACAGGGAAAAAAATAAGTCAATGTCGACCACATGACAAGTTTAATAGCTAAGATACTGTTAAACTAACAATAATATAATCAGCTTGGTAATGTGATAAAAATTAACAAAGGAAATGTCAAACTATTTAAAAAAAATTCCAAGAGGTCCTGTTCTAATAAACCACTAATTTAGTCCAGGGTCTATCTTCTCCCCATAGCATAATAAATTTAAAAATATCAGCAAAGAAATACAATGAAAAAGTAACACTGTTATTCTGCTATTGTGATCTGTAATAAGAAATACATATTTGGTTTCGTCCCCAGTCCCTGATGAAAGGGCCCCTGAAATTTTTGTAAATCCCTGAGTGATAACAGCACAAGTAGCATCTTTTGTCTGAATAGGCAATTATGGGTGAGTCCTGAACGTTTCCTGGCGGTGGGCTAGTCCCCCAGATGCCCAAGCCATACTTAGGAGCTTGGGACTTTCAGTCCTGCTCCCACTTCCCTACAAAGGGGAGAGGGACTGGGAATGGAGTTTGTGACTGAGCTTGCCAACGGGAGGAAACCTCCATAAAATCTCATCTGTGTGGGGTTCCAAAGCTTTCAGGTTGGTGAACACACCCACATTCTGGCAGGGTGACCTACCCTGACTCCACAGGGACAGAAGAGCTCCTGCACTTGAGACCCTCCTAGACCTCAACCTATGGATCTCTTCATCTAGCTGTTCACTGCATCCTTTATCATGTCCTTTAATCAACTGGAAAGTGTAAATGTTTCCCTCAGTTCTGTGAGATGCTCTAGCAAATAGTCAAATTCAAGGGGGAGAGAATCATAAGAAGCTCTGATTTGTAGCCAAGTAGGACAAGTTGTGAATAATCTGGGGGCCTACTGCTTCAGTGGTCATTTGAAGTGGGGGGCAGTGTCATGGGACTAAACCCTCAACCTGTGGGATCTGCTGTTATCTCCAGGGAGAGTCAGAACTGAGTTAAATTGTAAGGCACCCAGCTGGTGCTGCAGAACTGCTTGGTGCTGGAACCCCCCTACACATTTGGTAAGTACAGTATCAGAAGTGAAGTGTTCTGGGTGACAGGAAAGGAGAAAGACACAGGAGTAGAATTGTAGGTTTTTTCAATGTAGTTATGGACATTTGAGCCATTTAATATTTACTGAGCACAAAGGGCTTTCTTTCCTAAGGCAGTTAGTACAGTTAGTTTGCACAGAAGTTACAAAGATAAAATGTTCACAGTCACTGTTCCGAGGAGAACTAGGCAACTATGACACAAGGTCAAATGGGATTGGTATTGGAGAGATGAAAGAAGATAAAATAGATTCCTAAGGCAAGTGAGCAGGGGCTAGAGACACTGGAAGGCTAGGGAGGACGGACAGAGGGGAAGTGAGGGGATACGGAAAGAGGACCCCTCATTTGTGGACCCTTTGCCCTCTTGCCACAGTGGCTGCACTGGAAGGGACAATGCCGCTGATTCACCTCAAGGGGGGCGGGGA